TGTGTGTTTGATCTCTACATTTATGATGCTTCTCTTCCTGTTAGCCTATTATTACCAGATTTTTCAGACTCCAAACGGTAAACAACTAGCTGATAACACACTACCCCCAGCTGATGCTACTGTGGCGAGGCAAAGCTCATTTTTTCAGGGATTTTAAGTCAAAACGTAACAATAAAGGTTTAAAGGATGCTCATATAATACTACATATTACATGTGTTGTTATAGTTACAATGTAGATAAAAAATGCCAAAAGTAAAGTTTATTAATCCCAATTRTTCGACAGAACAGAAACAAAATAGCACTAAAAAGGCACAATAAAAAGAAAGAAGTGAGGTTCACAAATTGACAAATTTAAAATAAAAAATCAATCAGTGTCTCAAAATTGTCTAAGTACTGAATGCTGTAAAGAAGAAAAAAAATTCTAAAATGGAAAAAAAAAGCCCAGATTGTAGAACTTTAATGTACAACCAAATTCAAAAACAAAAGTTTTTAATGCATAAAAAGATTCAGAACCTTATGAATTGAAATAAAATCACATTAAGGAATTGGKCACAATACTCAGTCCTAATGGTCATCTTTGGAAAGTTGTTTTAAATTCTTTGCTTGATTTTCTGCTTCAATGAAACCATCACAGAAGTGGAAATTAGCTTTGTAGAAAACTCTGATCCAAACCGTCACCATCAAAGATCCTTGCTGGATTCTCCTTTCCACCTCTCTTTTTTTTTTGGTCTATAACAAACTAGCCAAAGGATGGATGAATGGACAGACAGTCATACAAACAGACAGAGCTAGATCCATAGATCCATAGATCCATCCATCCATCCATCCATCTATCCATCCTCATCTGTTTATTTCAAAGTCAGGTTGCTCAGAGAAACCCAGACATCCTCTTTCTRAATCACAGCAGCTCTACTCCAAGCTTTTCTTATCTGATTAAACTCCACAGGCAATCCTGAAAGTTTGACCTCTCTTTGAAGAAAGCTCATAGTAATGCCCTCCTCAATGTGGACAAGGTCTTCWTCTCCATCTTCCAGTACATTTTACCATCATTCATGATCAAGACTCCTCTACTTGCATCAAAAAACYCAGCTCCTACTTGAAAGGAGCATGCTGCCTTTTTTTATGGTTGAGATTCATGACATCTGACTTAGAGGAGCTGACTCTTATCTCAGCTGCTTGACTTCAGAATGGGTGTTGAACCAAAGCATGAAGGTTAGGTTAGAAATTGTAAGAAAGTGTTAAAAATTRGAAGCCAGAATAAAGCACAGAAAACCCAGTCCAGTTCTCAGTTAAATGTTTRCTTTCAGATCTAAAAAAAACTTCATTTCATCCTCAGAGCCTGTACCTGTGGCCCTGAGACTAATCAAAACAAAATAGCTTCTAACTCCTACGTGTCYTCCCCAAACCATAATATTTATTGGAAATCTGGTGGCTCTCCTTAAGTCAGCATTAGAGAGACACACATTAACTTGCTGATCCTATTACTTTTTAAAGTATATGACTAAAATTGATCACAAAGTTTAAAAAAGGCTGTATCTAAATTTCAGTTAATCAATCACATTTCTTTTAAAATAAACCTCACACTTYCTAAACATGCAAAAACATGTAAAATATGAACTCATCTAACAACAATCAATGTCTCTGTTGTGTAATATTCAGCCACCTGCTTCACATTTATAAAAAGAACCAGTCAAAATATGACTGCTAAATGACACACCTAGCTTTACCACTAGAAGGCTTTCCTTATTTTAATAATATTTTACAWCAACACCTATAAAAGTCTCATTTGGGAAACATTTCCTTCCTCTCTCACTCCTCCTTTCCTCCTTTTCAGCTTTTCCTGGCTGCAATACGTACTCAGGATAATCCAAAGATAAGTTTTGTAATGCTGCTTAGAAACTGGGTGATTTTGGTTCTGAAATAAATGTTTTGTGAAATTATACTATGTTGAAAAATGTTCTGAATTTACGCATTAGATTGCACTATTCAATCACCTTTTATACTGCAGTTTAGCAACCATTCAGTCCAGCCGAACTAATATACTATACTGTATGTCAGATGTATGTTAGACCAACAGCACAAAACAATCACGTTTTTGTCCAAACAAGACACTTGGTACAAGAGACCATTCTACAAGACTTTTACTGTATTCAGGGAAAGGGAAAACSCAAACATTTCTGTTTAAATCTGAACAAATCTGTGCATGTTGTCGTCTGAGCCTCCCAAGTGAACGACAGAGTAACTATTCATCCTCATCACCTAGCAACTGACTTAACTGACAGATTTGTTACGGTTTCCATGACAGCACAGATCTCATCTTTGTTGCTAAGGTAGGATTCAATTCAGAATGTTTGTTGCTAAGGTCAAATTGTTGGGTGCTACGGAAACAAACGTCTGGGCCGCATCGCCAGAGAGATAGACCGAACAACAGAGAGGGAACACTACACACTGACACACACACACACACACACACACACACACACANACACACACACACACACACACACACACACACACACACACACACAGACACACACACACACACACAGAGCCACTCAGACCGAATCACCCCTGGAACCTCCAAGAGAGCTGCCAGTGGTGGAAATCTGCACAAAACCAGCTTACATTTTATATCTGAATTATCATCGAGAAAATCAATTTTATTTTGTTTTGTTTTCAGATCCACCGGTCATTCAGCTTTTTTATAGAAAAATGCAAGACACTTTTCTTATTACTGCTTTACACTTTAAAGAAAATAAGAAAAACTGTGTTTGTGGTGATTTATTCATGCTCCATACAGAGGAACAACTAGACCACCAGGACAAACCATTCTCACTCCCAACTCGTCACATATTGACACTTGGTCAGGTACACTTCCGAAACTGGGCACGCCGGGTACCCCCCTCACATCAGTTATTAACCAGATGAGACGGAGGAGGAGGAACACATTGTCATATTTTGAAAAGAACAGAAAATGCACGACAACAGTCCCAGGCCCTAAATTTAACTTCTATTAGCCACACCCTCTGACCTCAGTACCTAAAATTAACCATTAACCCTGATTTCTAATGCTAACCATTTTTTAAAGTGTAGATAATGCGCAACAACTGACCCCTAAGTGACAATACAT